TCTAGGATTCTCTTTATGCAATTTGAATTCCCCGCACATTACAAATAATTCTTTCTCATTTGCCAATACACTTGAATACCAAATAAACTTGTGTCCATTAAAATACTTTTATTCAGCTATATTTTTTTTCAAAAGCAAAACAAGGCTATTGCCAAAAGAACTTTTTTAAATATAGCTTTATTACAAATTCGTATATAAAAATGGGATTATCAACAAACTTGGTACTAATATATTACTTTTAGTTTTTTTTTTATTTTTTCCATATACGAGTATCTAATCGAAATAATTTAATATAAGAAGTATTGAAATACATTTATGTTATATAAGATAAAAATTATTTCTAGTTTTTAGTAAAAATATTACGAGTTATCAAATATGATCTTCGAAATGGTTTATGACCACTTTAGATATACGTTTTTTTCTCAGTGTACTGTTAGACGAGGACTTTATATATGATTTTAAGTTAATTTGTTGAATATTTTGTTAAAAATAATAAAAAAAAACCGACCTGTACTAAAGTTTCTGTTCCTGAGAATGCTGCCTGAAGATGTTCTCAATGTATAAAATTTCAAAACTAAGTTTTTTCTTTACCCGCAAATTAATTTTTAATTACTATTTTATGATTACTTCAAAATTTAGAAATAGTGCAATTTGATAATCAATTTTTTGTTTCTGTAACTTTGTAAATATACCAGAAATAAATTCGTACTAAATTTTTTTTTGAATTTTAAACTCAATTTTAATATCCTAAACCAGGGATGGCGAACTTAAGGCACACGTGCCCAAGTTGGCACTCGTCTCTACTTTCCCTGGCACGCGCTAATAAATACAGTGCAAAATTTTTTATATTTCCGATATTATATTTGCTTAAAATATAAAAATTATATTTGCTAAAAATTGTTTCCAAAAATTTTTTAAGTGAAGCCTGTGAAGCCTGTATTTCCTTTAAAAACAAATTATAATATTATCATCCTGATATTGATGACTTAGCGCAGCAATTCAACAACAAAAATCTCTTTAATTCTTTATTTATAATGTACATATGTTTAAATAAGATTATCGACATATTTGTGTAAATGACAAATATATTTTGATTATTTTAAGGCACGCGAGTATTTTAATTTTTCTAAAATAATTATTTTTGGCACGCAGTCCGATAAAGGTTTGCTATCCCTGTCCTAAACAAATTGATCAGAAACAAAATAATGAAATAAGATGGAATCGACTTTATTTCCAAAAGCAATTCGTGAATGAGTCTGAAATATTACAGAAGAAGGAATTTATTTTTTGGAAGTAATGTCGAAATTGAAATTTGATTTTATTTATACATGTCGGAAAGGTCAATTTCGGGTTCTATTTTAGGTTTTTTATTTAAAGAAAGGTTTATGTATTTAAAGAAAAAGTAAATAGTTAGATTTATTGATAAAGTCAATGTTTCGTTTAACCATTTTAAAGAAATATTTACGGGATTTTTCGGTGAAACACTTGGCACATTTAAAAGTCAATTTTGATTTTGTCCAAAGAAAATTCGATTTTGTAGAATTGAAGACATAATCACGAAAGTGAATTTAAATGAAAGATAAATTTTTGTCAAAAACCGGACTTTTGCAAAACTCGCTACTTAACTTCTGAGTTAAGTAACGGCTTTTGCGTTGATAGCAAAATGCTATGTTTACAATAAAATAAAAAAAAGCTAAAAAACAGAATTTTGTTACTTAAAATTGAGTTCGATTAATTTTACAAAACAAAAAAATTTCTTATTTTCTGTTATTAAAAATTAATATAAGTGCTTAAATTATTTGTAACTTTACGGATTTGGAAACTATAAACCACATGCAAAAATGTGCATATATAAGAGTAGATACATATGTACTTAAGTACTCGTATGTAAAATTGTTAGTTAATAAGCTAGTAAGTAAAAGACTTTGTACTTTTCTACATTGATTATGCAAGTAATATGAAAAATTTTTGACCGTATGAAAACAATATTTTTTTCTTTAACATTAACATTGAAGTTACCCATACTTATTTCCGTAATAGTCCAAAACTGCTCCTATCTCTTCGTTGATTCAATTTTCATCTTTCTTTTCTTATTTATCTTTTCAAATCTTGTATTTATGTATCTTTCTTATGTATGTATGTACAACATACATGTACATACATACATAAATTTATATCAAAATTTGGTTTTTTTTTCCAAAAATCACCTTTTCTCGTTTTCTTTTTGAATTCATAAAAAATTGTTGCATCAAAATTCGTTAGTTGCATTGCGATGCCATGACCGTCAACAATAACTTCTTTTTGTTTTTATTGTTTCTTCATTCACTTTATTTTTGTTTTTCTTCAATAAGTAGGTACACATTTTTAAAAATCCGATTTTATTCTTAAATAAAAAAAATTTGTAAATTTTATTTTTTCTTTCTTGAAAATTTTCTTTTGCCTTAATTTTTTTATATTTTATCTATCTTTTTATGTCTCTTTCTTATTATTTTATTTTTGTAAATTTCTCAGATTTGTTTGATGGTAGGTAGGTACTTATATTTCTTACTCGTACCCTTTTTCTTATTTATGTAGAAGTACATTCGTCTGTTTTTTTATTTTTTGAATTTTTATTAATTTGTTTTTAAGGAGCGTCCTAAATGATGCGAACGACATGAACGCGAATCAATTGCGCATTACATGGAAGAATACCTACTTGAACACATATTTTGGAAATCTCTTTTTTTTAATATTTCGTCTTTTGTTTTCTTAATTTTTAACCTTTTGTAAAAATGTATTAATACATAAATAATATGTAGCTTGTATATAGAATGATCCCTTGAAAATACTAAGGGCTAAAATAAGTGTTAACTGAAACTGCATTGAATGCAGAACTTATTCACTTAAATTCAAAATTATAAGTTTAAAAACTTTAACTAACAAAATTGGCAAACCTGCTCAGATTTTTGAAAGTCTGAAGTCAGCAAGTTACATGTATCTACCAAATTTAAATTTGATTGCTTTAGGGAAATAGTTTTCAAATGAGTATTATAGGTAGGCGTTATAGTAATTTGTAATAGTTGAAAATCTTTGTAAAAATAGTTTATCTTAAATTTGATATTTGTTTAAATATCTAGATAGGCATTTTGGAAATTTCAAAAAGTTCGTGTAGCTCAAAAACTCCGATATAAAATTATGTTTTGAACAAAAATTTTACTCATTCTCGACCCTCAACCCGGTGGTATATGACTCATATTTGTTGCTGAATCATTCTGTACATTTTGATGCTGTTAAAAAAGTAAATCAGTCCTTCTTTAATCAAACCGTGACTTCCAAAACGCATTATGAAACGTTTCAATGCGGTTTAAATACCGTTTTGCAAAAAACGAAAAGCTTTGGAAACCGCCGCTAGGTACTGATAATGATGAAGCTTTTCCTACATCATTAAACATACATACATATGTACATATTATACGCTGTAAGTTTTTTAAATTTGCATGTAACAAATCTTGGATTCAAAAAATATTATTTTTGTATAAAAATTTTAAAATAAGTACTTATCCGTTTGTAAATAAATAATTGTAACTGTCTTTTTTTGACAGGTGTACAAAAAATGGTTTCAATTTTTTTAATATACGATATGCGCTATACGCTATTTTGACATACGATACATTGTAAATTTTAAGTGTTCACTACGTTTTGGAAATCACCGGTTATTATAACTCAGCTTATAAGTCGAGACTTATTATTTATTAAAATTTTATTTATTTTTTTATTTCTGCTTCGTAAGGAGAATTTCTAGTATACTTTTAAGAACGTAATAACCCTATCTATACCTATATATCATGTATCTATCTACAAATTAACAGAATAAAAATTTAGAATGCGACTTATTTGTGATTCTCGATGTAGATAAATACATGAAATAGCTATATTATTATGTAAAGAATCATACAAATTTTAAAAAATTCGTTCAAATACATTAACTGACATTAATATACAAAGCTAAATTTGTTTAAATACTTTTAAAATCCGATTCTCTACTTTTTTTAAATACTTAAATCTAATAAACTAAAAATTTAAATTAGTTTAATGAAATCTGGGTTACACATTATATATGTATATATGTATGAATGTGTATTGATATGTTTTATAATTATTTCCTACATATGTATTCTTTTTACGGTTTATTTATTTGAATTAAAAAAGAAATAATATACAAATGTTTAAAAGAAACTGTAGAGTATACGTTCACATATACAACATACATAATAACGTAATCACGCCAATTTGTCGACCTAATAAGTGAAGTTTATTAGCACTTTTTTTTTAAATCTAACAATTACAAAATAAATTCAGTAAACATTATTACTAGAAGGAAACTAAATCCACATTCCTATTTACTATAAACTTATGTTTACTTTCACAGGTAGAAGATAAAATATTCGAGAAGGAAAACTAACACTACACCAATAATTATTCGAAAGAAAGAGACAAGTATATTTCTTTAATTTATTGGGAATAAAAAAAAATCAAGTTATCAAATCAGTTATAACAATGCATCACAGTGGCTAAAACACTGAATGTGAACCATTTGTACTAGCAAATACTGTTAATCACAATACGAAAATTATTTATATTTTATGTATACAAAAAATAATTTTAAGTAATAGCACAATACACATTAAAAACAAATATTATTAATCCGAAAAATGCATAACAAATTCACCGAATTTCAATATATTTTTTTTTTTTCAGGTAAACGTTTGTATTTATGCATTTTTATGTTACCGACATAATAATTTAATGAAATGTCAAACCCATAAATGAAGGTAACACCAACTATTTTTCACATAATCCAATTAGTATTTTTTTCACATTCATACATACATACGGAGTAGGCATGTATTTTTTATGAAATAAGCATACTAATATGTTACTTTATGTGCTTTTATTATTATATTTGAACAAATTCTTTAGTTAATCATTTTAATTGAATTAAATAAAAAAATTAGACTCACCGTACTTGTTTAATACAGAATAATTATTAAAATTCTTAACCTTTTTGTTTTTTTTTTCTTTTCTTTTTGGTTTTTCAAATCCAGTTATTGAACTGAAACTAAAGTTATTTTTTACGTGTTTACTTTTTTATGTTACTTTACTTATTCCTTTTTTTGTATATATTTCTTTACTGCTTTAACTGAATATATTGCATTCTTTTACTCCTTACAAGATATCCAATTATTATTCTATTCAAAATTTTTTTTTCACTTTTATAACTTTTTAAATATAAAACTTCTTTCCAAATCAAATTTCAATCATAATTTTCATCACTATTTAATTTTTTCTCCAATAAAAATTAATTTTTTCTTTTTAAAATATTTTTATTTTGGGGATCGCAAGAAAAATTTAATAAACAAGCTTAAATATTTTATATTTTGACTGAGTAGGCGCGAAACACTATTTTAACAACATTACGCATCGAAATTTCAAACTCAACTACTTAAAAAAAATTTTAAATTAAATAAAAATTTTGTTTTTCTCTTTCTATGAAATTTATTACAAAACGGCAGCATTCTTCATTCTTGTTTAATCTTTGGACAATTATGTCTTATGTCATCTGTTATGACATTCGATGTATTTCGAGTATTTCGAGTATTGAAAAATTTAAAATATATGACTTACATTTGATACTGGTTAATTAAAATTTTGCATGGTTTAGCAATTTTTATATAAGGGAAATTTTTATATATAGACGTCAATATTATGATTTCAAAACTTTCAACTTTAATAATGTAACAAATTAATCTCATATCAGACCGACTTAGAGACATAAATATGTAAATGAATAGGAAGAAAGATTTACACGTACGTTGTAGATTTTCGCTACTTAAAACTTTACTCTTTACTCTTATTTACTTTTCATATGAATTCATTCTGAATAAGAATAGGACTTTAGGGAATGTATTTTGTTTCATGAATTTCCATCAAATCGTAGAAATCACAAATATTTTTTTTAATTTTATGGATCATAATGATAATTGCGAATAATAATGTGAAGACTTTAAAATAACCTGTTACTAATGTTTCATCGGGTGCTTATTAAGATAAATAATAGGCTCTCATTTCTACGCTAGATAAAAATTAAAGTTTAAGTCAGTTAAACTTCAAGAATTATTTAATGTTTTGAAAATCTAATATATTTGATAAATGAGTATTGATCTTATTAATTAAGAAAATATAAGTTATTTATTAATTTAATTTTAATTATTTATATATTTGAAAATTTTCAATTTTTTTGGCTCATGAAAAAAAAAATAAAGTACTTTTCAAATGCATTAATTGATTAAAATCATTTACGTGCTCCTGAATATTCATTCGGCTCATATAATTTTTTTTTTTCATCGTTCAAAATGTCAAAATTTTTGAGTGTTAAAATTCTACCTAAATTTTTTGCTGTTTTTGAATTGAAACTGTAGCCTAAAATTACTAATGTGCTATTTATAAGCAAAATTATACCTAATGTCCAGATATCACAATCGTGCCAAGTTATTTTTACCATAAAATATTTTTTCTCTTACATAAATAAGAGAAAGTTAAGAAAATATGGCTTTATAAAATATTATTTTCATTTTTTTAACGTCAAATTTAAGTTTTTTTACGTCTGATATCAATTTAGAATTCGTGTTCAATAAGTTATGGCTACGCGTCACGTGATGCATAGACGTTCATTTGCGTATATAACACGGTATGAAACAAGTTAGTCAAGGTTTAATATTTACAAAAATCTAATGTCAACACCGCTAACATCAATTAAAATGTCATTCTCACAAATTATTTTGGCTCTGAATTCAAAAATAAATAAATTTCCGTGCAAACAAGTTGTTTGAAATTTACAAATTGTAGGAGCTTTCTTTGATTCTATGTGAATTTGAATAAAATTTGAAAAATTTTTTTGTAAGTGGGAAACAACTTTTTTATATAAAAGTATTTTAATGTGTAATTTATTATGTCCAAACTTATATTATTAATGTCTTTTAGAAAAGAAATATATTGGAACTAAAAATTTCATTAATTTGGCGAGTTTAAAATTTTAAATAATGTTCATGATTTGTCTATATTTAAGTTTTGTTTAAGATGCATATCTAAATGAGAAATATCTATATACGCCATGAAAAACCACGGAACCGATTTCAACAAATTGTCAAAATTTAATTGGAATGCATTTTAATGTTGATGGAAGTTTTTGGAAAAAATTAACAATTTTTTGTTTTTGTAAATCATCGTATACCAGCTTTATGAAGATTTAACTATAAAATTGGATAAGAACTAGTAAAACTAAAGTAATGCATACCAGCGGATATTTTAATATTTTGTGGAACTTAAATTGTTTTTAAATTTGGAAATTTATGAGAATCAATATGAGTTGTAGGAAATCGCAACAGCATTTTAATATTTTGGCGCAACTTTGATTTATAAAAGGAGGGAAATTGCGTTTTTTCGATTTTTTTGTATTAAGTTCAAATATTTGCATTATAAGCAAAAAACGTAATTGACGGGAGTGTCTTGATTATTTCAATGCGCAGTTAAAGAAATTTTTCAACTTTACATGCAACAAATTTTCAAAGGACATGGTAAGCTAAACCCAAAGTTTTAGAAACCACATAGTACAATACAATGTGTATAGAATTAGAGAAATATTAAAATCCAATAATTATTTGAATTTAGTTATTGTAAAGATTATGTATTGTTTAACGCATATCCCTGTCATTAAAAATCAGATTTCCTTACAAAACATATACATACATACATACATATGTATAGATTAAAAGCGAGTTTTAAAACATTATTTTAATCCATTTCAGTTTGAGTTATATATTTAAAATATATAATAATATATATAACTTGAAACCATTATGTTCTTAGTTTTCTTTAAGGAACGTGTAAATAGAGTAACATATTAAACAATTGGTTTTCTTAATATCATTCTCGGGCTATAAATTTGAACTACGCTTTTACTCATTCTTGCATCTATAAGAGATAATTCCGCTAGTAATACTTAAAACACTATAAAATTAATGAGACAGCAAGTAAATTTTTTTGATATTTCAGGTTAAAATTATAAAAGTCAAAGCAGGCGAAATTTTTGTGCATTACAGCGATCAAAGCCAAATGTCCGTAGTACATGCTTAACTTTTTAATAGATACCAAGTAACCGTTTGGAAACGTTTTATAACAATTGCAAGTAAAATGCGAAATTCATGAAATTCAATTCATTACTTTTTTAATGCTGCTGTTTAAAATATAGTAATGTACAATTGATATTTTAGCAGAAAAACAACAAGTTTCAAAATAAACTCAAAATATGTACGTTTAAATAAAATAATATACATATATTAAAATGGGATCGAGAAATCAGAAGGTTATATAAGAAATAAGTGATACAATGCAATAAAAACGAAAGAAAGGCAAATAGATCAGCTTGAATTGAATCTGAATGCATCGTTATTGCTATATAATTGGTAAGATTACATATGAATATTTACATTTTAAAGATTCATATATATAAATATTTTTATTCGTATCGATTTCAGATTTTTTATGGAGAAGATCACTTTGTTTCCAATTTTAAAGATTCTAAATAAAAAAGAACAAACAACGTGTAAGAATAATACGGCAGTTTTTATTTAAATTGAACGAAGCAAGCAATACCTTGTTTAAAATATATATACATACATATATGTACGTATATGGTATAGTGCTATAATTACGCAAATAATACAAATTATATCAGCGTTAATAATCTTCATATAAAAGAAAGGACATAAAAGGTAAGTAAAATTTACAATTTTATAAATGTTTGTTTGATTTTTGTATTATTTAGTAGGTAAATGAAATTTAACAATAAATTAAGAAGACTTAAAAAAATATCCCACGTATATTTAAAATATTCTAATTATAATTAAAAAATATAAATTGATTCAATTATCAGTTTTTATAAAATCAAAAAGTAGGTCATCTACTATTTTTTATATGCCAACAGTATGAATTAAATTAAAAGATAAAATGCATTTTAAAATAAGAATATAATTTCAATTTTTCAACATTTGAAAAATATAGATATTAGGATATTATAAGGTGTTCACACAATGATAAAAATAAAAATCGAAGAGTATAAATTATAAAAGAGTAAATAGTATTCTTAAGAATTTGTAGTTTTTGAAGCCTATTTAATATAAAAGAAAAATTATTTTAATATTTATTTATATTTATATATGGAATTTTTACATTTTCCAATACTTATAAAACTTCGAACATATTTTCATAAATTGCAAGAAATAAATGATAATAAGAATTTTGTTATACCTTATAATTATTTAATAATTATTACAAATGCTTTACGCATGCAAAAATTTTATGTTTACAATTTTTTTTTGTAAATTATGTTACATGTTTACTAAAAAATTTAATTATACTATAAATGCTGATCTTAATGTGCAGTTTTGTAATGTATACATATGTATGTATCTACATATGTATACATTACAAAACTGATTAATTATTTTATCTGATTTTTGACATAGTCAAAATAATTTTTCAAATTTTTAAATATTTTGTATTCAAAGGTCTTTTTAATTTTATCTAAGGGTAATAAAATTATTTTCTAAAATTTTTATATTATCTATAAAATTTTTAGAGGATCTGTTTAAAAGGTTGTGTTTTGTTCGTATTCTTTAAGTTTTATATATTTCAAATACATATTTATTTGTTGTTCTGCATGGACTGGCAAAGTGCAATTATCTTGCGCTCTGTATTTTTTGAGGAAGAATAATCACTAAAATTAAACGCAATTTCTTCGCCCAAATTCAATGCAAAAGTCAATCAATTTTGATCCTCTCATATTTCGCTGACATAACCCATATTTGCCTGCTACGTTATTCACTTCTTCATTACCGACTTTCGCGTTGAAGTCACCTAAAACAACTAAACAATCTTCTTTACTTGCATTTTTTAATAATACCTTAATTTCTTCATAGAATTTTTCAACCTCTTCATCGTCCTTTTCTGCAGTGGGAGCGTAGACTTGAATAAAATTAATATTTCCTTTTTTTGTTTTTAGCTGCATAAAAATTACTCTATCCGATTTTGGGATTATACAATTAACGTGACCCTTTAAGTGTTTGCTAATTAGAAATCCCACACCGTTTCGTTTTGGATGATTTGCATCCGGACCCGAGTAGAACAAATAATTTTCTTCCGTTTCACGTTCATCGTTGCCAATCATATTCGTTTCGCTGATACCTATGATGTCCAGGTTTAACCTTTTTTTCTCTTTTTCCAAATTTTCCAATTTTCCCGGCATGGCTAAACTTCTTACATTCCATGTTGCGACTGCTAATTTTTTATTTTTATTTGATGGTGATTTACTAGGGAATACGTTTATGAGGTGGTTTCCCGTTGCCTTCCTCATACCCTTTTAGCTTAACTTATAATCTTGTCCTTTTTCTTTCTAGAGTCGTATTTTTTAAAACTTTCAGAACTGCGCTGACTGTATTATATTGTTGCTTCTCCTTCGTTCCCTCTTGTTGAATTTTTTCTAACCTTCCCCTTTTTACTTTTTTCTGGGTCTTCTGGTGATCTTAGTCTTTTCTGGCTATCAACGTTTGCAGGATTTGTAATAGTCTCGATCCTTTTACCATTTACAATCAAACTACCTTTTACGATGCTTACTTGTTTCCCTTCTGCCTCTAGCTGTTTCTTAGTTTTTACAAGATTACTGCGAATAGTTCTTTGCTGGGATGTATAGTCTCCTTTCAAGTAATATTTGCTTCCTTCAAGATTCTTACTGTTATTCAATATTTCTTCTTTTTTTATAAACGATATCAAGCTCAATAATATGGGTCTTTCTTTTTCTGGATTGTTTGATTTTCTTCCAATTCTCCTTGCAAAGTTTATGTTTTCTTTTACAAATGGTACTTTTACGATAGATTTTATGAAATGAGTAACCAGATCTAACAATTTCTCCCCTTCTGTTTCTTTAACGTTTCCAATTATTATGTTATTTTTTCTAATTTTCCTTTCAGTACCTTCGGTAATAACATTCTGTTCTGCTTCTTTTTCTTTTAATTTGTTTTTAAGGCTTGCAACTTCTTCTTCTAAGTCTTTTATGCGCTCATTTGCTTGAGTCAAATGATTATTTATTTCTTCTACTATTCCTTTCTTATTGTTTTCCAGACGTATATTTAAATTCTCATTGATATCTTCTTTAAATCTCTTAAACTCTTTTTCATTGTTATCCAAACGTTCATTTAAATTTTTGTTTATATCTTCTTTGAAATTACTAAATTCTTGTCTAAATAATTTGACTATGTCTGCTGCATTGATGTTATTACTCATTATTGTTTACTGTAATACAGATACTACGACCACACTGATTCTTGGAATTGTGTCAAAACACTTAGAAAATTATTGGAATATTCACCACACTTTTTGTAAAATCTATACTGCGAATGTATTGGTGTAATTGATCTCAATATAATATAAGTTTTTTTTCTTTCCTTTTCTTTTCTTTTTGAGTGTTTCTCTATATTAAACTTTGAGTGAACAAAAATGGCGACTTGCAATCCAAAAATCTGATTTTTCTAATGTTTTAATAAAAAATTCTTCACCTTGGATCAATTCTACTGACACAGCTGATCTTTCTTTTCTTTCCCTGGCTAGTTCCAATTTCAATTTCCAACAGTAAGGTGCTATTATTTATGTGCAATTATTTATACAATTTTATAATTCTCCTGCTAATTCTAATACGTCTTAAAGCTTCAAATACCACTCATTAGTATTTATAATACCTGATAGTATTTCATCATATTTGTTGTTATCCTTAAAGCATGTTATAAATCTTGCTCTTTTGCTAATATTAGTTTTACTATGCATATACATGTAGTTCTTATCAAAATATTAATTCCTTTATTTTAAACTACATTTTATTATTTCATTATAATTTTACAATTAACTTATGTCTTATAATTTAGTTATTACTTAAATTTTATTCCATTAATTTTATTATATTAATTTTACTTTTAATTATTAATATCAGCACTTTAAGATTGACGATCCTTTTGCTTCGGAAGTTGATATCGAAAGAGATCGAGAAAATTTAATTGTAATAAATCTAATGAGAATTGGTAGGAGTGCTACCAGTCAAATTTAATGTTTTGTATTACCATGATAGTGTTTGGTCGATCGATATTTTTTAATCAACATACGCTACATACATAACTCGACGGTTGGCGCGGTTATGTCTCTAATTCCGTAAACTTCAGGCCACCGTGAAAAACGGTGAACAATTGTTAAAATGTAGGAGTTGCCAGCGGAAACTGGTAAAGAACCTACAGATCCATATGAATGTGCTCTAATCGGCTCGAAGGTACGTCAAATTTCTCGAGTTGTTATTTCGTATGCTTGTGAATTTTCGATATTTGGCAAGTCAAGCAAGGTCTTGCCCATTTCACATTCATCGACATTCTTTTTTTTTATTTTTTTTTATTGGTATGAAAAGAAAACTTCCTTTTATTCGGAATAAAATACTTTTTTTTTTTTTATTTTTTGCTAATATATTTCGTGCGTTACATACGCACTTTATCAAAGCTGATTTTCTTCTCAGAAAAAATTTAAACTTTTTGCCTTTTTAGTTGTTTTGGCTTTTGGTATTTTTATATTTCTGTTATTTCTAGTAAAATAATTATGTATATTCCCCCTATATTGCAATGATAATCCTGACTTAAAACTATTGTTTAAAATTTTGTATATGTATTTACACTTTTCCAAATAAATCAATTGATTTAAATCTAATTCATTAGTTATTTTGTACAGGTCCCTAGTACGAGTCAATTTAAATAATGATTGCAGGATTTTATTCATAATAGTACCAACTTGGTTAACTTGAAATTTCGAACAATGACTTCAACTGCAAATATTATAACTAATGCTAGACAAGATATGACCATTGTAAACTAGTTTAGCTGCTTCTTTCGGAATTCCACCCGCATTTTTGATAGCTATGCTTATAGGAATAGTTTTGTACTTTATATACTTGATAATATGTTTATCCCATTTTCAATTTTAGTCAATGATCATACCCAAATATTTAATATCGGTTACCTTTTGTATTGGAATATCCTTTATTTTAATTATTATGTTATCATATTTTTTTTGTGTGTTTTAAATATTATATAATTTGATTTTTTTGCGTTAATGCAAAGTTCATTATCATCTAGCCAATTGCATAAAGTTTCTAAATCTTTATTCAATGTGTACCCTAACTCTAACATTGTTTTAAGCTTTTGCAATCAAACTAGTATCGTCGACATAAACGTTATAATTAGATATAATATTGTTTTTCGGAATATTCATTATATATAGTAAATATAAAAGTGGACCTAACATAGAGCCTTGTGGAACACCTGTTTTAATTATTAATTCTTCACTCATAACTTCATTAACTTTTACACACTATCATGTTCTATTTGATAAATAAGTCTCCATCAGTCGATTACTAATGCCTCTTATTCCCATTGCCTCCAAAAAATCAATTAATCTGGAGTGGTTCACTACATCAAATGCTTTTGTCAAATCAATGAACACTGCACCAACATAAAACCCGTCATCTAATGCATCGTATACTTGATCAAGAGTTGCCGCTATCGCTGAATCAGTACCACTATTTTCTAAAAATCCATACTGATTTTTATCAAAACCAATGATTTGCGTTATGAAATTGCGAATCCTATCATTTATTGCTTTTTCATATATTTTCGATATCGAGTTTAGTATTGAGATTGGTCTATAGTTGCCGCATTCTTCCTTTGAACCGGATTTATGAATTGGAACAATAAACGCTTTTTTTAGAAGTTCTGGGAATTGTCCTTCTGAAAAGCAGTTATTTATCATTTTTTAAATTGGCTCTTTAATGATATCTACCAATTCCTGAAGATCTTTTACAGTTATTTTACCTAATCCTGGGGTTGCATTTTTGTTCAAGTTCATAATAATTTGATGAATTTCTTTTTCTGTAACTGGAGTAAGAAACAGCGTTCTGTTGTGTGTACTTTTTCTGAGATGCTATTACTTACTCCAACCCTCGAAATTTTTGCTACTATATTTTCACCTACATCATTAAAATATTTATTTATACAATCAGCCGTGTCATTTTTATTACTTGTTTTTTCACCATTTTCTCTGATGACGTAGGCAATACTTTTGTTTTTTCATCTTCACTATTTTTGATTGTTTTATTTAAAACTTTCCACATTTTTCTAGAATTATTTCCAGGCTTTTTAAAATTGTTTATAATGTACTTATTTTTACCTTCCTTTACTGATATTGAAACTTTTTTTTATATTTTAGGTTATTTTGCTTTTTTTTTCATTGTTGTTAGGATCCTTTTTATTTTGTAGATATTTTATAATTTTTAATTTTTCACACAGCGTCGGTGTTATCCAGCTATTATTTCTTGTTCTAATATTTATTACTTTTGTGCAAACTTCTTTCGATTCTTGAATCATAATAATTAATGTACCAATTTCCATTACATTTATATTTTCAATTTTATTTTTAACCAAGCCATATAATTGAGCGTAATCAGTTTTACTAACTGCATAATTTCTTATAGGTTTTTTTTAACATTAATTCTTTTTAAAGAAACTATGGCTAATTGGTGATCTGATAGACGATTGTTTTCTATTGAATAATCAATATCAAATTTATCACTAACGTTAGTAATTATGTGGTCTATTAGAGTGTTTGATTGAGTTCCAATTCGTGTACTTTAAGTTTTATTAACTACATAATACCCTGAAGTAGCAATCATATTTTCATACTTTATTAATAAATTCGTATTATCAAATAAATTTAAATTAGTATCAGCAAAAAATATGTGATCTGATTTATTTTTGAGTTTATCTTCTAAATATTCAATTAACAAGTTGCTGTCCTCAGATGGCCTTGTAAAGTGTACCAATTTTTATTTTAGGCTGTAAATTTATAATTTCAACAACCGTAAAGTTATATTTTACATCTTTCACAATTTCACTGAACTGGATATGATTTCTAATAAAAATTTCAGTACCTCCCCCTCTTTTTTCCTCTTTTTTTCTACAATTGTAAACTGCTTTAAAATTAGGAATATTATACGTGAAAATTTCGTTGTCATATATCCATACTTCATTAAGCACAACAATACCAATGTCGCCCAACTCTGTAACCAATGCTTCTAATTCTAAGATTTTATTTCTAATGGTACATGTATTTAAATATAAAATTTTAATGTTACCTATTTGAAGTATATTTTCTGAGCAAATCATGATGGTATGCCTATTAAATATTTATGCCAGTTTTCTCTAATTTTTTGCAGATATTCTCTATATCCATTATCAATATGCCGCCTATATGCCTTAAGATCTTTTGTTACTTCTCCTTGGGAAATTCGAATATTTTCGTGGTACTTATAGTATATCGCATACAGTTCTCGATAAGTTGTTGGTAAACCCTCTTGGTCAATAAGAACTTTTATATTTGTTTTCGTCATACCATCATAGCAAACGTCATAATTATTGTAGAAGTAGGATAAAAATAATCTTACATTATTGTATATTCTATGGTCTCTAAATCTTGATAGGACGTAGACATCATCCCCATCCTCTATTGATTGTTTTGTTAATTTAACAATTGGTGGAGTTAACAGATCTAAAAATTTACATTTACCTGCGACACGTTTGTAAACACATTCGTCAAAGCTAAATTGATCACAAATAAGATTCTTTACAGCACAATTGTTAATTGTATTTATCAATTTTATTTGTGCATTTGAAGTCGTTTCTTCGTATAATTTGTCATTTATATCCATTATTAACAGTTATAAATTAAGTTATTATGTTTCATTTTGTAATTTATTCCTTATTAACAAAATTTTACTTTGAACTAATATTTTAAAACTATTATAACTATATATTCATAACATATATTTAACAAAAATATATCACAATTGATTGATACATCTATAAAATTCAATTTCTAAAGATCTAATTGACTGCTTTAATGTTCTTAAATTTTACATTTAAGTACTGTAATTTTACATATCTTTTATTTTAATTATTAATTTTAATTTTTTTTAAAAAAATATTATGAATTTCGGAATAGTCGTGATATTTCTATATAAAAGACTAATTATTTTTCCTTTGCAAAAAACTTTATTATATTTAACTAAGATTTCTTTCGACTGAGATTTGTACTAAAAAAATTATGTTTAACTGAAACTGAATACGAATAGCGGTCTTTTCATTCTGGCGTCGACTACACAAACCACAATCAGCGTTTCCGTTTTGAAAAAAATTGAAAAG